GTATTCATCTGGAGCCATATGTTTTATGTGCCTTTGACCTGGGGGGGGGGAAGCAAGCTCATTGCAAAGATACGTGAACCTTTCACCAAATCTAAGCCAAGTTTCCAGTTTGTAGCAAAACCTGAAAGCAAGTGAGTTTTGAGTGAAAGTTGCTCTGTCTGTGATTAGAGAGAGAGAAAGGAAACAGCCACCTGATTTTAGGCAGAAGACAAATATTTAGAAACCACTTCTTTTGAATAGAGTTAAACTGGGATTAAATTTGCCACCTCAAACCTCCCCCTTGTTGCCCAATACAGAATATGGTAGAATTTTTTACACAGATGGAGTTAAAAGGCTCTTAGCCAACTTTATGAGAAGAGAGTGAATCACGGCAAACCCACCTTTGACACTCATATTGTACACTTTGGTGCATGCTGGAAGCAGTTTGTCTGTGGCAACTCTGAGAACACCTGCACAACACTCTTCTTCCTCCAAGCAGACTGTTAACCACTTTGCAGCTCAAGCACTACACCATGTGCCAGTCACATCCCATCACAGGGATCCATTGTGACTTCATTCAAACATCAAAGGTAAAACAATGTAAAAAGGGGCAGTGGTAAAGGGGTTAAAAGATCAAGCTTTGTTGTAAAGATAACAGGAACTGGAGAACTTGCAGCAGATATTCCATGTGTAGGCACTTAGCTTTATGGTACCACCTGTGTCCACTTAATACCTTTAAAAGCAATCTCCTGAACAGAAAATCTGAAGGGGAATTAAGGCCCAATTTTCAGATTTAGGCATCTTCATACAACTGCCATATTCCCCCCTATGGGATACTGAGACACTGAGCAAGGGTATAAGTAGATATTAACTTTTGTAAGCACCAATTTAAGCATCCAAATGTGGAAATCAGATGTTCTGTTACCTCTAAAGCAAGTTGTGTTCCTTACTGAGGGATTTAGCACTTAGAACATGTTAAATGTGGTATGAACATGAATTAGATAACAGATTTGCATCTTTCCCCTTTTCTCTGTCTCCTAGTAGTTTCCTCACCTTTCCACTCCCCCCCCCCCCCATCTCCTTCTCAAACAGACAGGTCTTCTGCTGCTGTGTTTTTCCATACAGGTGTATCCAGTCTGAGTTACTTTTAGGGTTACAGTGAAGAAACCAACAAAAAAGAAAAGTCAAGTCCCAAGAAAAAAGTACAGTGTGTCCTTCTCTCTATCTGCCTACACCATGGTGGTGGGCCACATCTGGCCCACTTGAGATGTTGATGTGGCCTCCAGGACATAGTCAGAGTGCCTAGAATCTCTGCTTTCATTTCATTTTATAAAAAATGTAAGTTTCTAGTCTTCATAATTGGAAAGAAAAGCTTCCAAATGTGAACTGAGCTCCATAACTGATGCAGTGATGTCTGAACGTGCAGACAGTCTGAAACAGTGACAGCAGTTTGAACTCCCTTGTGCCCTATTAATTTCATTGGGCCATCAGGGCTAAAATCCCTGGTGACATTTCAGTGTTAACATTAACCATGTCAGTGCTGATCAGTTTAGCAGGTGCAATGGGGAAGAGGTTAGGAGCATGGCCCACAGGCAGGTGGCAATTGCAAGCTGCTTCAGAGAAGGAAATGCAGTGAAAAGAACAAAGAAGACAGAAGTTGGGAGAGGAACAGAGAATGGAAGGAGGATGGAAGAAAGAAGAGCAGAGATAGCAGTGACCTTATAGGGCAGCATATTTCCCACTGTGTTGATCTCTCTGTGAACCTCTGTGCTGGAGCATATGTACTCCTAAATTTATACCCTGACCTATAATTTAACATGGAATTCAATCCCTTGCACCCAATGAGTTTGATACCTCTGGGCTAGAGCAATTATGAGACTGAAACAGCTACTGTCTCCTCAAGCAGGCTGAGTTCTTATAAGTCTACAGGTGAGTTACACAGAAAACAAAGACATAATAGTTTTATGACTATATACAATACCTCTTGTTCTCAGCAAGTCCCTTCCCTTACCCCTAGCTGAGTACCAGATCTCCCTGCCACTTGCCTCTGTGCTGCTCTCTGCCTGCCAGTCTGCCCAATCTCAGCGAAACCTCCCTCCCTCCTCCTGGTGCCCAGGCTGAAGGAGCAGTCAGAACTGAACAGTAGATAGAGGCTAGTCATCAGAAGAACATAGGCTAGGGAAGCAGTATGATCTAGTGGCTAGAGCACTGCTTGAGGACTCAAGAGATTTAGGTTCTAGTCACAGCTTTGACACTAGACTGTTAGATGAGCTTGGACAAATCATTGCGCTCTGTGCCTCAGTTTCCCCATCAGTAAAATAGGGATAATAATATTGACTTTCTTTGAAAAGCACTTTGAGATATACAGTGTAAGTATTATTATAAGGTGGCAGATTGGGTCAGGATTAACTCTTCCGAAGTATCCCAAAACCCCACTCTTTTTTCCCTCGTTGAGTAACCAGTTGGAATACCATATTGTCCTAAGAGTTAAAGCTATTACACTTGAAAACTGGGATTACAGTGTCACAGGAGAAAGTAAGAGTAGCAGCTTTAGTTCAAGCACTGAGGCCATGGCAGAGAAAGAATCAGCCAGATGACCTCTCTTTGGTTGCATCTATGCTAGAAAATTGAGTAAATCAGACTGTGCTACCATAAATGGCTGTAAACAGCCAACCTGTTTCAAGCACACCAATGCCCTGTATACATTACCAGCAGTTACGTCTTGCAGTAGCACTCCATGTTGGTTACTTATCCCACAGTTGGTGGCACAGTTACACAGCAGCCACCAGGGTGTTGTCTAATCAGGTACACTTTATTAATACACTAGCAAATTCAAAACACACATCAGGGAGCTCAAACCCCAGCAGCAAAGAACAACTTTGTTTAGTTAAACACAACAGTACAAATTCTAGGTAACCTGACTAGTCTCACACACAAACATATTAAACAAGCAGATATTTATATAATGGTGGAGACAACATTTGTGAAAGTTACTGTTGAACCATTTGGGTAAAACCCCATACCCACACAGAGCCCTATTAACATCAGGGAGACTCCATGCAACTGCAGAATTCCTTTGCAGGATCAGGGCCTAAATTAGTTGCCTTGAAAGATCACATATTTCCTAGAAGCTTTACTCAGCTTCAGTTCTAAACAAAATACAACGCTCTACTTTTTGTTAGTTTTCACTTTATGCAATAACCATTCTTCAGGGTACTAGACTCAATCTGAATGTATTCCTCTTTGCAATCATATGCTGTACAACTGTGTGCTAGAGTTTTTTGCTGAGACCAACAAACTCAGTTTCACACAAGCCAAGTGTCTGTGACTATTAGTCCTGAGATTGCTCTTCAAACTTTATGCCATGGCTACAAATGGTTACAATTAAGTTTTAACTTCAAAAGGTTTCACTAGCAGTAAGGATGAAGAAAACCTAGCTCACCACTATGGAAGAATTACAGCAGGGGCCGGCAAACTACTGCCCAGGGGCTGCATCCGACCCTTCAGACGATTTAATCTGGCCCTTGAGCTCCAGCTGGAGAGTGGGGTCCGGGGCTTGCCCCGCTGCAGCTGAGGAGTGGGGTTGAGGGCTTGCCCCGCTCCGTTCATGCCGGGGCTCTGCACAGCTCCCGGAAGCAGTGGCATGTCCCCCATCTACCTCCTACACGTAGGGGCAGGCAAGGGACTCTGCACACTGCCCCCGCAGCTCCCATTGGCTTGCAACTGCAGCCAATGGGAGCTGCAGGGCAGCACCTGTGGACAGGGCAGCACGCAGAGCCTCCTAGCTGTGCCTCCATGTAGGAGCCAGAGGGGGGACATGCCGCTGCTTCAAGGAGCTGCTTGAGGTAAATGCCACCCGGAACCTGCACCCCAACCCCCATCCCAGTCCTGATCCTCCTTCTGCCTTTGAACCCCTCAGTCCCAGCCCAGAGCACCCTCCTGTACCCGCAACCCCTCATCCCCAGCCCCACCCCAGAGCCAGCACCTCATGCCAGAGCTAGCACCCCAGTCAAAGCCCTCCCCCCAATTTTGTGAGCATTCATGGCCTGCCATACAATTTCCATACCCAGATGTGGCCCTTGGGCTACAAAGTTTGCCCACCCCTGGATTACAGGAAACTCAAACCCCACCAACACAGTGCATGCATGTTTCCTTCTCCCCAGAGCTGTGCTGCTGATCTGGGAGCAAAGTCCCAAATTTAAGGCGACAAGGTGGAAATGCACAGCTCTAGCATTTCAACCAGCTTTGTGTAAGACACACATTTAAAGAAAAGGCTAAGAACACATACATAAAATATAATAAACCTTGCCACACTCTTCATGACAACATTTAAAACAACTACAACGATTAACTACTGCTATACTCCTTGTGTAGCAATAATGTATGTTATATTTTAGAATGCTTCCTCCCAATAGCTGGGTTTGCAGTGGGTGGAGTTTGGGGGGAGGGGGAATCTGAAAGGAAGTATCCTTCTAGGGGTGGAATCACCTGTGGTTGGTTTCAAGGGAAGCAGCCACTGCTGGGAGAGGGGGGGTGTCTGCATTAAAGTTTGTTGGATTTTTGTACAGTGTGGTCTTGCCTCATTGCTTTGGATACCCCTGTACTATAATATGTTGCACAGATATAGCATCATGCTATGTTTATATGTAATAATAGATCATTTTCATTTTGTTTATAATCCTTTGGTGGCTGGTCCCAATGGTTTAGTCTAATGGTTGCTTTTTGCCCTGCTTGAGCTTCTGAGCACGTGCACCTGGAGGAAACACCCTCACACTATTCTTTGTGGCAAGGTAGAGGACAGTATGCAGGCTATTCCTCCTCCTGACCGACTATGGGCCTGGTGCCCAGGAGTATACCATGATGAGCAGGGCCAGGTGTGGGTGGCTGTGCTCAGGAAAGTAAGTCAGTTGCTCTGCCATGCACATCTTCCTTTGTTTTGCCCTGGATATTTTGTGTGTTTCATGGGTTCATGTTTTCCAGTTGTACTAGCGCTTTTTTTGTATCTTATATTTGTTCCCTAGGATCCAGAGACGGGCATCCTGTGGGCCAGGGTGCGAGCTGAGCAGGTCCTTCTGGGGGATTCCTGGACTCGGAGTCAGTTCCCCCTCTCACCCCTACCCCATCTGTGGCAGTGGTGCCCTCGTGGGCTCTACCGTGCAGCTGGGGGGATAGGAGAAGATGAATGGTGGCTGGAGAGCCATCAGGTGGTAAGTTAAAGGTTCCAGGGGGAGTGGGAGTAGCTAGAGAGTAATACCATGAATAAATGTGCAGTTATCTCACTAGTCTCCCTGCAACCCAGGGCTGTTTCTTCAACCCCTCTCCAAACAATTGTCACCCATCTTGGCTCTGGTTTAATATCAAAAAGATCCCTAATACAACCATAGAAGAAATCCTCCCAGCATAAGCCTTTGCCTTCCCCTCAGGTTTGGATCTATTCAGAGTTTGTGTCCCCACCTTGCTTATTCCATACTCTCACTCCCTCTAGCCCTGAGCTGTCTGCAGGTGTCTCCCATCTGTCATCAGGTGGTTTAACAAGCAGCAGTGAGTCCCCATCATGCAATGAGTTCCACATGGGCAGTCACAAGTCCCCTTGAAGTCGGTGGGTTGCCTTGCAGGCACAATGCCTAACCATCTCTGAGCACACTGAGGACGGGGGCTTAGCTCATTGAACCCTTCTTCTTAGCCATTTCCCTCCCTGCTAACCAGATGGTTGTGTTAGACAACCTTGATGGCCCATTACATATCTCACTACTTTTTTTTCTTTTTTCTTTCTCTCTTTCAGGTCTCTGGTGTCCCAGAGATACTTCTCCGCCAACTACACAGATGAGGCCATAGCAAACACCTGAAGCTGGCAGCACTTCTTGGGAGCAGGCCTGGTTCGAGAGTTTAAAATATATATACTTTCTAACTTTTTTCTTTCTCTCATTTTTTTTTAAACAAGGCAACATGAACAAGGATAAAAGGAAGATGCATTTTTTAAAAAAATGTTCAGTAATGCAGTATTAATATAAACCTGTTGTGTTATGAAATGTTTATTAAAAATATAACAGGACCTTCCTACAAATGGTGAAGATGTAGTACTTTATTCCATTGATCACAAAATGAAAGCCATTTTTTGGGGGAGTAGCAAATAAAAACATTTTTTTTTTTGCCTGTTTAGATGTCTTGTTCATTATTAGATCCAGGCGGGGAGGGAAACCAAGCTAGAGAACTGCAGAGGACAGTCCCTGCTTCTTTTGGAGCTGTGTTATAACAGTCCAAGTGAGTTGACAGGTCTCTTAAGGGTGGGCTGCCATTGTGGGATAGCAGTCTGAGGACCAATTGAGCTGGTAGAGCAGTGGCTAGTCTAGACAGCAAGTGAACCAATAAGACTGGCGGATAACACAGGGGTTAGTCTTACACTACCATGGTCATTACAGTTGCAACTGCCTGTACATCACTGGCAGCAATCGTAACACACTTTACATACCCACCCACACAACATCAACATTTTCTAGTGCAGTGCTTCTCAAAGTTGGGCCGCCGCTTATTCAGGGAAAGCCCCTGGCAGTCCGGCCCGGTTTGTTTACCTGCTGCGTCCGCAGGTTCGGCCGCTCACGGCTCCCACTGGCCGCGGTTTGCCCTCCCAGGCCAATGGGGGCTGCGGGAAGGATGGCCAGTACATCCCTCGGCCCGCGCCACTTCCCGCAGCACCCATGGGCCTGGAAGGGCGAACTGCGGCCAGTGGGAGCCGCGATCGGCCGAACCTGCGGACGCGGCAGGTAAACAAACCGGCCTGGACCGCCAGGGGCTTTCCCTGAACAAGCGGCGGACCGGCTTTGAGAAGCACTGCTCTAGTGTAGACAAGAACATTCTCTTTCTGTCCTCCCCTCTGGGGAGATCATCTCAAAAATCTGGTTGCAGCTGGTAGTGTAGCACATACAAAATCAAATAAACATGTGCCATATATGTACAGCTATGTGTATACCATTTCTGAATAAAAATGCATCTGCACATCATATCAAATCACATGGCATCTGCTTCACGTGGAGTGCAGTGGCAGGGGCCCCTGTAGAAAGGCAGCTTACAGCACAATTAAGAAAACACGTTCTTTACTGCTACTGCTGTAGCCCTTCAGTGTAGACACTAGCTCTGCTGAGAGGGATTCTCCCATGGGCGTAGGTAATCCATTTCCCTGAAAGGCAGTAGCTAGACCAACTGAAAAATTCTTCCATCAATCTAACACTGTGTATCTGGGGACTGGGGTTGCCTTGCCTATGCTTCTTGGGAATGTGGATGTTTCACATCCCTGAATGATGTGGTTATGCTAACCTAATTTTCTAGTGTAGACCAGGCCTAAATCAATCAGGGGCTGCTCTCGCATGCTGTAGCACTGTAAATTTCTTTCTGCACTGTAAATTTGACACCAAAACAAGATATGAAGGAGGGCTGACTTGGGGACCCTCTTATACAGAGTGGGGCTCATTGGAAGGCCTTGTGGAAAGATGAGACTAAATGAAAAGGTGACAGGCCTTACAGAAAGGAAGGTTCTGAAATGCAAGTTCGTTCACTCAGTCTGCTGTCATTTTTAGTGCTCACCTAGACAGCAGCTTCTTCAGGTAGCCAATTTAAAGGGGCTAGATAAACCAGGACTAACTGTGTTTTGTAAAACCAACAGGCATATCAGGACAACCCTTGAAACTAGACTTTGCTAGTGTAAGGATAACCAGAGTTTTGGTCTGGATCACGAGGTGTACATGTGCAGGGCATTTTTCTTCTTTCTTATTCTAGTCTTCTTATGGTCCCAACACACTGGAATTCTCCATTAGGTTTTCAGAGAGTAAGATTCCTGTAAATTTCAATACACTGCTGCCTCAAAGGGCTCCCAGTTCAGCAAGTTACTTAAGTACATAGCTAACCTAAAGAACTTGAGTAAGCTATTTACTTTAATGGGGCTACTCATGCTTATGCAGCTTGCTGAATCAGGCCCAGGAACACAGCAGAAAGACATGCAGGGGAGCATACAGATACATTGCTCCTGTAATCTTTCCAGCCAATAAATCCCTTGGGTGCCCAGCAGTGAACGCACTTTTGTTATCATCTGAAGGGTGAAGAGGCCAACCTATATAAAAGCCATTTTGAAACGTAAAACTTGATTTATATTTGATATCACTAGTCTCGATAAGTTTCTTTTCAAAGGCCGTATATACAGTGCTGGCCACAACAGATACATATACAAAAACATGGAGGTACAACCAGACCCTTTATTCACTTGCGATTGCTGCCATTTTGGCCAGCATCATGGTGTGAACCAGGGACAGACAACTAAAAGCAGGAATCACTGCAGCTTGTGCTAAAGAACCATAGTTGGGACCTCACATTGTCTGTGGATTAAACACAGAGGGGAAAGCATAATGCTCACTGACCAGTGCTTACACATACATGCATGTATGAGTATCTGTTTGCACATGCAGTTCCTCAAATGTGAATGTGCAAATTTCAGTGGGGATTATACAATGCTGGTCATTTTAGCTTGTGATTGGCTCATAGGGAGTTTATCATTATGCTATGAAATAGATTGTAGTTTACCAGAGCTGCTGTGAATATTTGTACAAACACACACAATTTTTGCAGGGGCAGGAGTTGTCTAGTTTTGAAAATTTAGCCGTGATGTTGACATGACTAGCTTTTCCCTTTTATAAATTCCAGACAGTAAAAATGCCAGACTGTGTAAGGAGTCATGTGGAGGGCTGTACAGCAGCCATAGTCTGACTGTAATCAGTACAGTAGGATCCTATATTTATCTGAAATTATGCCATTTGGCTACCTTGACCTATTAGATTTACTTTCCATTCTTCCATATTCCTTAGATCCCTGTATTAATAGTGGATGGCTCTAAGTGCTGTTTCTTCTGGCACTAGTGAGTTGCAGGCAGTGTGTGCCTGTGAGGTAAGGCAGTCATGATACAAACAAATAACATTTTTCTCTTCCCTGGAAATAATTATATGAAAAAAGAAATCTGACTGAAGGGATCAGACATGATACTGCTGTGTCACATAATGATTGAAAGCCAGATCTTATTTGATCATCCTTTTCCTCCTAAGGCATGGAATGCCTCAAAGAAGGGTTTTCAGGGTTAGACATCAAAGCTGAATTTTTGTGAGGGACATTTTAGGTCAGCTGGGGATAATAATAGTTAACAACCTTTGTAAAGTGTTTTGAGATTTACAGGGGTAGCCTACTCTATACAAGCCAAACATCTTCATCTCTGTTGGTGTTCTTACCTTATTTTTTAATGCAATACAATTTTAATTGTAAAAAGAGTTGTATCACTGGGCTGTGTACTATGGCAGTGCAGATTATAAAACAGAAATGATGTTTTTTGTAAAACGCATAAGTTAATATGTATGTACGCTAGAGTATTTTAATGTGAATACAAATTTTTTGTTTAAGAGCAGGCTGGAGGAGCAGGGCTCTTTTCCTGTGCCCTGTCTCTTTAAGGATTAGATTTCTGCGGAAGGGGTCAAAAGGGCCACAGCTCTGGTGAACCAGGGTGTGATTGCAGTAGAGTTGGGGTGCTATTGGAAGACGCTCCTCCACTGGGGCTCATGCAAGCTGTATTTGGGTTTTTGTTTTTATTCTACTTTAATACACTTCTCTGTTTTTAAAACAGTCCTTGGTCTAGGAGTGTAACATATCATAGTCAATATATTTAGAGGGTCATTGTCAAGGTTCTTAACCCAGAATATCAAACGACTGTATTTTGAGTGTGCTCTTGCCTGAGAGTATGTCTGGACAGTCCATGGCAGCGAGCCTCCAAGCCTGGCTCGCACTGCAGCACTAAAAATAGCTATGTAGACATTGCAGCTTGGGCTCTGAAGCCTAGGGAAGGGTGGGCTTCAGAGCCTGAGCCGCATCTTAAAAGCACTGTGGACACAGTCATTTTTAGCACAATGGCACAAGCCCCACAAGCCAACGTCTGTTGACCTGGGCTCAGAGGCTTGCTGCTGCTGGCTGTCTAGACATAGGGTACATGTCTACAGACCCTCAAAGGTCTTGCTTTGAGGATTCATTCTATAAAAACAAGGTGGAGCATGCACCCTATGGAAGTAATTCTACACTGCAAATCGGGAGGCACAATTGCAGCACATGTAGCCATTTGTGAGCTAGCTTGGATCAAGCTACTTTAGCAGTGAAGTTGCAGTGGCGTGGGCTAGCTGCCCAGATACAAGCCTACCACGTGCTGTCTACACTAGAACTGGAGCTGTAACTTTGAATTCGGAGAGACATACCAATGCTAGCTCAGATTGAACTAGCATGCTAAAAATAGAAGTATAGCCGCAGCAGTGCAAGCGGTGGGAAGGCCTAGCTGTCCCCAGTACAATCCCATCCAAGACCGTAGGTACATGTGGTGTGGCTAGCCCATTCCACCACAGCTACACTTCTATTTTTAGTGCACTAGCTCCATCACAACTAACGTGTATGTCTATCTCAGCTAGAAATTTCACCTACAGCTCCTGTACAGAAATAGTCTAAAAGAGGTACGGCTTCTGTACTGGTCTTTATACTATGAATCTCACCAAAAGCCATGTGCCCCCTTCATATTTATTTTTAAAGAATGGTAGCATAAATCAGCTTTTTGAAAGAAAATATGTAGGATGAATCCTGTGTTTCGGATTCTTTAGATGGAACCATTGTGAAGAGAAACTAAGAAAACCTTCCAGAATGTATTGATACAGTGCTTGTCTGCCTCAGTCTGCAGAGAGACAGACTGCCGGATGATGGTACTGTTATTCTTTTAAATGATATGAGAATGGTGAAACCTAATGATGACAATGCTGGTGTCAATATTTTTAACTCCTCTACTACTGATCATTAAGCAGAGCCATTGGGACTGTGAGCAGAGCTTGAGCAGACTTCAGCCATGTTCTCTTTTTGATCCAAACTAGATTATTGCATATGAATCCAACATTCTCTCCTACCACTTCTTAACTAAACTTCTGACTGTCATTTTTCCTTCCGTGTCTGTCTTTGATCATTTTAAGTCCAGGTATCCTAAGTGAAGTCAATGGGAGTGTCGCCCA